TGTGTCCTGGAGACACTGATGTGAGTTGGTCTGGGAGAGCATGCCCTGGAGATATTGCAGAACCCTGCACATGGGTGCAGCCATCATAAAAGTGATCAAATACCCACTAAGGAATGCACGAGGACAAGGTATGTGTCACTAGACTCAGTCACTTGTCCATGCCTCAGTTGCCAAATCAGTAAGTGGAGCAAATGCAAACAGATACACCATGAGACCAACTTTAGACAAGGAATACTAGCTCTGAAATTCCCTATATATAATTTTTAGCTTAATGAATATGAATATTATGGGATAAATGATGCCCCTGGAAAGAGATTGGATACCAGGCAAGAGGAGAATATAAATACGAAAAAAATTCCTTTCAAAGGCAGAGCTTCCTCCATCTTACCTAAGTCACTGTAAACTGTCTCCTGCCCTGAGGTTGAGGTTGGTTGCTCATGGTAGCAGAATACCAGACTAATATTGGGATCTAATTGCTAGCAATCCACGGAGTTTATTTAATGATCAAGGAATTTATTTGGGGATTAACTCACAACCATAGGGGATTTATCATACGGTCTAGGAGAGCTCAGCTATGTCCCATGCTGAATGGCTTGGCCCAAGATCTCGACATCCAAACCACAAAGTAGCCAAGAGACAGATGCATATATGCATCCTAGGTTTTACAAGTTCCCCAGTGACGAAGCCCCAGGGGCATGTTCCTCAAGGTCATAGGCAGGTGTAATAGCTACAGCTGCCTCACTAGGGTCAGTGCTTCAGGGCATGGCTCAAATAGCTACCCACCACAGACTATTGTCCCAGGGAAGCCATAGTAAATAATTTTATTGTTCCATCATTCAAAGGCCTTGGGATGGGGAATTACTAAAAGATACCTGGGTTCGTAGAAGAGAAAGATTATACAAACACAAAATTAGTTATGTCCTCTCTGACCATGTATTCATGCAGTAGTATGTACACATGCAGCTTACAGATATGAACATGAATATAAAATGTAAGAACAGTGAATATGGACCATTATGGAGACATCTATTTATGGAAGAAAACTAGTGCAGTTTGGAAAGGAATGTGGAGGAGAATGGGGAAAGGATATGATCAAAATACATTCTCTCTATATATGAAATTATCAAAGAATAAACAAATAGATTTTTAAATATAAGTGTAAAGATAATGAGTGTTT